CTAGAAACATGAGTGTTTCCTTAATCTCGACACTGAAGCTGATTTTAATACATGAAACATGCTATTTATCTCTAGCTTAGAACTAATGATTACCTTCTCTTACAAAAATCTGTGAATATATAACAGTTTCAGCTGACAATACATAAAGTCTATTTCTTTAAAAACCGCCTACAAAGCAAACTACTAATCTACCCGGTGGCCGGCGGGCAGATCCGCTTGTACGATTATTGATTCTAATCAGAAATATACCTGATCGAAAGAAAGGCAGATATTGATGTTCGTCCTGTATACCCAACGTACTTATTTATAATGATTAATTCTGAGAGGAAGAGGTTCATGGATTATTCATTACCATGAAGACAAATTAAAGGTTTATTCCGTGTGTATGTACGCTCATGCGTTAGTAATTTGTATAATATATAAAACTTTTTGTTTGTGAGTATAAACTGTTTACAGATTTTTTTTGTGGCATAGCAAACCTCGATATCATGTTAATTTTCCCCGTCTTGTTTACTGCCAACATATTACAAGTCATGTACATATTTCTCACCCAATCGCCATTCCCTTTATAAGAGCGTAGCTCTCGGGTGCCGAAGGCCTCTCCTGATGTATTGGGTTTTGATTTTATATTATATATATATTATATTCACAACTTTGAGGCAGTTTAGTTGGTTGGGCATTCACACGAAAATATGGCGAGGAAATCATATTCGGCCCCGACAGGTTCGGACAATGATACCGAAGCAATTTGGCCCTTGTTACACGTGAAATTGGCTGGAACATCTGACGTTGCATGCTTTATGACGTCACAATTAAGTTGATTCCAACATGGGTCGAATTTACAAGACAGCCGCTCCGAATTTACCGCAAGGTTGCGCTCGTTCGGCCATCCAATCTTTCGACAGGAAAAGTTTCATAATTCTTCAAATAAGGAAGTGTGTTTCATAAACAAATGTAAATCGGCCGAACCTGCCCCGGTCTGGTCAACAGTCACGTGAGTCGCGTTAACCACCTGCGATACCTCATCAGCGAGAGTTCTGTGGCCCAGTCCAGCTACTGTTAAATCGAACACGAATTCAAAGAAAGCTTCAGTGGGACGAGATGGCCTCGGGAAACAGTTCATCCGGCTGGTCCAAACTCCCTGGGGAAATAGTTTTTTCCACTGCTGGGGACACGAGAGCAACCTATAAAAATCCTTTGCTTTCATTGTTACATTTTGGAAATATTTTTCTGAATACCTTCCATTCCTTATGTCATTCTTGGCAATATCCGCTTTTGGACTTGGCCCAAGAGGGGAATTATGGGTTCTGTCCCCTAGACCAAAACAAACCGAAGACGATAAAACTTCTGCTTACCGCCCTTTGATTGACGTTCAGTTGTAACTGGGAAGCGGGCAGTACTGATTAGGTTAGCCCCTTGTAAATGAATTATGGCCGGGCGGAGTGTCCGGTTCCTATGTCCAGGTTATGGCATTTCAGTAAGATAGCTCTTTAAAGTTCCCATTGAATTGCCTGATCGTCCATAGACACCTAAACTCGAAACGGGTGTGGCAAATTCCAATTAAATAATCTCATTATTAATTAATATACAACGAGCTGATCGTGTAATATATTTCAAATGTATTGGTATATGTTATCGATATCGATTTCGCTCAGAGATGAGGGTTAGATTAGTATAGTGATGACGGAAAAACATATTTACATATGTATGTACCTTCCTGTCACCATGTAAATCAATGTCAAGTTGGAGTGGAATAGGGCTTGTTGTAGCTCATATGACAATCTTTCGACAAGATATAAAGCTTGTCTTAGGATGAGTTTTTTTAACATGATTTTAATTTAGGCATTTGACTAAGCATTGTGCTTAAAATCTATAATTTATAAACACAAATGGGAAAAGTTATGAATTGATCAATGAATATGTGGGAAACTATTATGATGACACACTAGCAAATATAGTATGAACTACTTTTACTTTGTCCATGGCCTTTCAGAAATGCTACGCCCTAGATTGGAACGTCATCATCCACTTTTGACGTTATTCAGACGTCTCGACACGGCACGGCAAAATAAAAACGCTGTTCTTTCATGTAAATGTCGTTTAGAACAGTCAATGAAATCGATGAACAGTACGATTATTATACGATGTCAGAATATATCAATACATGTTAGGTATCTGACGTTTTCTAGAATCGCAATAGCTTTTGACAATATAGGTGTATTAGGAAACGCAAATTATGACAAAACCGGAAAATAAGACCGGAAACCACTGGATCAGGAGTGGCAAAGACAATTTAAGGTTCACTCGGCTCCACTGTTTTCTTATTTGATTTAAATATTTATATATATCTATCTTATGGGATGTCTACATAAGTTTAACGCTTTCCCACTATTATAATGCGTATATGGGGTGGTATAATGCACTAGTCTTTCACCAAGGCGACCGGTTCGATTCCCCGAACAGTCGTGAAAAGATACGGGGTCACCTGCCTGAACACGTGGGTTTTCTCCGAGTACTCCGGTTTCTTCCCACATTGAATGTTGAATGCCCCCGCGCGCTAACATCCTGGCCGGCAACAGAGATTATTATAAAATGAGATAGTTTGTCTCATAATTGTTGTAAAATGAATAAAGTTGATATTTTATATGATAATATGAATGTCCACATAAGAACGTTCATAACTACATATAACACAATCCTTGATAACGTGTAACTAAGGTCATAGCGTCTCCAAGGTCATCTCATAGACGTGGCTAAGTTGTCACATGTGCGTGCTATACAGGTAGATTTCTAAACGAGTAGCAGTAAGTTAATTTTCACTTTTTTGTAATTTTGAAGTGAGGCCTGGTGGTGAGTAGGACAACTACGGAAGACAACCCAGTCGGGAGGTCATTGCGTGTGCTCGTTGCTAAGAAAACATCGAACACATTTATGAAGTGTGAAATATAGATAAAGCAGCACCAGTGTTGCGATAAATGTCTATAAATAATTCAAACCAATACCTTTTACAACAACCGAAACGGCAAGAACAGCTACCAGAAACCATGTTACTCTGTCAACATTATATTGTAATCAGGGCTAGATATGTGCAGGTTTCAGCTTTGCCTGATTGTAAACTTGGAGAAAGAACCCAGTAATATCAATTAAAGCTGATTTTGTGCTAATGAGCATGTGACTGCAACGCCATCTGGTGGGACACGTCCGGCATTAGGTGAAGTGATGCTTGCACGCACGTGCATTTAGGGTTTTGTAATAATAATAAAAAACATATGCGCACTCTGTTTCGGACTGGCAACCTAGAAGTTAGAGTAAGTTGGGATCCCGGTTAATCCGGTGATATTTTGGTGACTATAGTAAGTACATATTTTGGGTTGGGGAATTTGGCTTGGTTTTATTTAGTTTAGCATCCTTTAAACAGCTAATGTCGTTCCCCCGTGTGTGTAGTGTGTGAGTTAGTGCTGAAACTGGTATGTTGGTGTATTTGCCGCCTTGCGACAGCGCGGATCTGATGCCGACTGTAGAGTGCTATCTCGCTGAAAAAGCATGCTGCAGGCACTCACCACGGCATTCCAACCGGTCACATTATACATACTAACAACGGGATAACTAGTTGTTCCGATTGCCTTGATTTCTAACAAGGTGTTTTCACGTAATCAGCGTTTCATTGTTACACGAATCAGCTCCCTGGTCAAACCTATTGGTTGTATACATAATGTATATCATCAATTTGTAATTAAATATTCCTTTCGAGTTATCGAGCTTGAACTGCTCCCTGGTCAAATCTAGTGATTGTATACTTATAATGTATATCATCAATTTGTAAATAAATATTCCATTAAAGAGTTATCGAACTTGAACTGCTCCCTGGCCAAACCTAGTGGTTGTATACATAATGTATATATCATCAATTTGTAAATAAATATTCCTTTAGAGTTATCGAACTTGAACTGCTCCCTGGCCAAACCTACATCATCAATTTGTAAATAAATATTCCGTGAGAGTTATCGAACTTGAGCTAAGAGATATCTTTAGAAGTTATTTGTCATACTATTATTCGACAAATAATGAAACGAATTTCGAAGAAGTAACATCTATACAGAATATCAAACAATAAACGAAGGAAATAACCGGAACAAAAGTCGATAATACGTGTTACACTTATACAGTAGTTATAAAGGTAAACCTCCGATACCTTTCGAGTGTGAAGAAGGTGTTTTATAAAGGAAACGGTTATTCGGAATTAATTATTCGAATCGTCGGCAATGAGTCACATGATACAACAACCTGTCACATGCAGGTAGTGCATAAGGATTTAAAAAAAAACACCGAAGAGACCTGCTTTAAGATCCCCGTACCCCTGACAAAAAGTGTTAAAATGCAGAGGAACATTATTTTACTGGTGTCTCTTACTAAATGAACTATATAATCAAAGGAAGTTCCCTAACCTAGTCGTACACCATGAAGTCAAGGGGAGGTAACTGTCTCTACGAAAACCTAGAGGATTTTTCTAGTGTTTTGCCTGTACTGGGAGAGGGATCCTACAGTAGGTTGGACTGTAGTGCTACAGATGTTTATGTTTTTCTTACCTGTAATCTCAAACGATCCTCTGCTCAAATCGTCACGTGATCCGAGTTGATCCTCCAATTCATGACGTCAGCTACTGGATGTCCTACGTCTGCCGACAAGTCATCATGTTTGGAATATAGACATTCAACCAGACATTGTATTTCCGCCCATGTACCTTCACTTTTTATCCAGCTGGATAATGAACGCAGTCAAAACAATCTTCAATATCATGTATTTCTAAGTCACTGTCCTTGAACTGTATGATTCTGTTTCTGCAGGAATAGAGCCACCATTGTCTTCTAGCTATAATGTTTATTTCTGATATAACATGATCAACGTGTGGTGAGTATTTCGTGAAATTATTTCACAAGTTCGTCGAGCTCTTCATGTTGTACTGGACGCGCATCGTTCAAGAGTAATGTCCCTTTGTTGTATAATCTTTTTAATAAGTTAATCATCGGTCGCTTTCATAAATATGTCACTTCAACTACAACATCAAGTCGTAACTCTACATGAAGATCGTATTCCTTTGATTTTTTTTTAAAGTATTACCTTTGCCCAACATATACATATTATACCCAGCTAATAAAAATGGACGGACGGAAGTTTGAATACAATCTGTGTTAAGACATATTTCAGTTTAGATTTTATGTTATTTTTGCTAACCAGACGTCGAAAACTTTGAGAGATACAATTAGAACGAAGAACTACAATCGAATGACCGATACAAACTACAGAAGAACAATGAGGTATCATCAAGCATTAATTGCTCTAATGTTTTCACAATTAATGATGACGCAGCAACACGTATTATTGTGTCACTGTTCTTTGCTAATACGTCACCTATTTTAGCGTAAAACATACTTAGTTGTACTGATTTGGATGATGTATTAGACATGACAAATACATTTTACTATGGTGCTAATTTACTACAGATCGCTATGGACTAGTGTGTAGGAATATCGTGTGACTATATATTCAAAATAAGACATATTTTTAACCATAGCTGAAATAATATATTTTTATTAATATTTGTTATTGTTTCAATTTCTTAACACTTAAATCATATTGGGGATTTTTTTCTATCTGCATGAAAAAGTGCCCTATTTGTTAAAAAATTGAATGTTCATTTACAAAATAAAGTAATATATGTTTTCATGTGCTTTTCTAAAGAGGGATGAAAACAGGTTACACACGTTTGTAAGAATCTTCCACGCTTGAGTGATTGCATGACATTTTTTTTTCATTTTAGTGTAATAAAGTGCACTAGATTCAGAATTCCTTCGTGTAGATAAAACTAATAATTGTATTTCAAACAGAGCAAATTTTTTAATTGTTTCCAGTGTTAACATAATGACTTGGAATAGATGACAATTTTTTAATACAAATCACGTGACAATATAAACTTGTGCGGGCTATGACGAAGTACTCCATTTTGTTTTATTTCTGTGTTGTAAAACATTACAATGTACAATGCGAGGCCTTGAAGTAGTACGTTTGGTATGAAATATGGAATAAACAAAACTAAAAAAGATCTATATAAATTATTTTGACAACGATGGTTTAGCAATTAATCATATTTTGACAAAGGTATTGTAACTATTAGTATAAGCATCATTAATGACGTCAGATGTGTATATGACGTCAGATGTGTATATGTGAGGAGTTTATATGACGTCAGATGTGTTTGTTTGACGAGTTTATAGAAAATATAAAATCATAAATAAGTTATCGGTTTACACTTATTGATACACATTTATACCAAATTATGTATTTATTTATTCATGATTTTTAATATTTCGGCGCTTTCTATGTTAATATTATGCTATTTCCAAATGCTTGTTTGATAATGTTTTTTGTTTGCTTTTTCAGGTTTTCAATAAATTAATATGAAATGAAAATGTAACCAATTCTACCACACAACACGAAACATTAAAGCTATCAACTAGCACAAACCGGAAATGACGTATGAAAATATATTAATTTTATGAATATTGCGAGCACTTTTTTTGTGTATTTCAAGTTGTTATTCGTCATCATTTTTATCTAAGATCCCCAATTTCTGCCCAACCCATTTACATTTGGCGATAATTTCATCCTGCATGAGCGAAAAACACATGGATAGAATCGCCATTCCGAACAGGACGTAAATGGCGCCAAGAACGAGCTGCGCCTGCGCTTGAGGATTGTCGAAATCCGTCCCCGGAACTACGTCACCGAAGCCAATGGTGCTGAGAGTTATAAAGCAGAAATACGCAGACTGGAGCCAGTCCCAGCTCTCCCAAAGGCCGAACAGGACGGCTCCGCCGAAGATGTACCCAGCAATGACTATCATTGTGACTGTAAGTGGAACTGTGATCTTTTTGTCGTCGAAATCGTCGTCTTCGTCATCGCTATCGTCGTCTAACACTGGGTCATTGCGTAAAGGCATCGGTCTGTGAGGCTCGTGCTGGGTCTTGTAGGACTTTACATCCATTGGTATGATTCGCACGGGTTTGACGTCATCTGGGCGGCCATTTGTCATACCCTTCATGCTTTCTGGTGTTTTCGGAGGTATCTTGCTGAATTCGTGTTTCATGGGTGGCGCCTTTGGGATGACCATGTTTCCGGTTTTGTCGCTTCGCCATGCTCCTTCTGGTTCCTGGGCAACAGGTTTGATCTGTACGACCTTTGTCTTGTCCTTCCGTCTGCAGCATCCGCAGCAGCAGATCTTGGCGTAGATGAATCGGAAGATGTCAGCCAGAACATCGCCGATGTTGGCCAGACACAATAACATGAGAGGGATACCCAATACAGCATAGGCGATACATACCAGTCGGCCCCAGAACGTCTTAGGCGCTATGTGTCCGTATCCTACAACACAACAAAATAGCGTCAACAAGTCATTCTTGCAAGTCATCTGCATTTTCATAAAAAGTGTTGAAGTGACTTGTATTTTCTGAATACGTTTTCTTAACAAGGTAGGTAAAAGAGATAAATATCAAATAGTTTTGTCAGGAAGGAATTGTAATTGAAACAAGACATAGACGAATTGCACTCATGCATTGATTTATAACGACAAGTGACAGTCTTGTTTCATAAATGTTGTGAAAAGTTTCGCAAAAGCTGACGTCCCATGTAGATAGTGTCCAGCTTGAATGGACCATCCGGGCACTTTATTGCATTGTGTCACAATATCCAGGAGTATGAGATCACATCCGGTCCTGTGATTCTAAAAAGGGGGCTAACGAAGGTTGTCGAGAGATAAACGCAAAACTGAAAAAGATAAATTTGATAAGAGATGAGAGGACTGGTAAGACTCCCATCGTTGTCTGTTTATTGTCTAGTTTCTCCTTAACAACAGTGGCCTGTCCAAAGAATTGTGCTGAAGTTCTATCGAAACTTCATGTGAAAAATTTTTGAAGTAACTAACATCTTCGGTGGATGTTTGTGAAAAATAGGCAAGGTAGAATCGGGTTGGGTGGGATGTGCGGGGCAATGAGTGTTATGGGAAGCGGTTGTCCAAGGGGCCCAGACTTTTCACCTCAGAGACAAACGAAACAGCATAGCCAGAAATGTCCAATTTATTTCTATAAATATTCATTAGTGAACTAAACAAAAGTGAAATCAAATTAGAAAACCCGACAAGAAAGTATCGTTTATTCCTGAAAAGCTACGTGACATGTTAAATTTGTTCTCCTGCAAGCATTAAGTTACGGTCCATAGAAATTGTTGTACGAAGAAAGATAACTCTTACAAGAACAAAATTGGGTGAATATTAATTTGCGTTCCATTTAATTATTTTAATTTCCATTTAATATAAATCACGATACGAACATTGTTAAAACCGTTGAAAGAGTCACCTAATTATTATAACGAGTCAATGATTTATTATGGCTAGTCACCAAATTATTAGTACTAAATTATCATAACGCGAGGCTCTCAAATTATTGCATCGAATCACCAAATTATTGTACAGTTTTATGAATCACCAAATTATTTGAAAAGTAACCAAATTATTTTAACGGGTAACAAATTTATGATATCTAGTCATCAAATTGTGAAAACGAGTCACCACAATATTGGGACATGTCACCAATTTATAGTGGTAGACCCGATATAGTATATTCCTTGACTAAACAGATAATGATTAAGTTAATTATCTCCTAACATGACCTTTTAGATAGTTTGTTCCAAGATCGATATACATGTATCGTAAAAAATGAAAGTACTAATTTCAAAAGGAAAATTCAAACCTAAATGTTGCCATCAATAATTTGTAGCACTGTATCAAAAATAAAAGATGGTCACCATGTAAAGGGAAGTAACTCTAAGGCAGAAAAAACTCCTTTAATTTAATCTCTACCCAGAGTTGTCGCTCCTTGCACTCAGTGTCCAAACTTTTGGTAGAAATTGCCTCACTTTGTTTGCTTCAATATGCGTTGTTTTCTATATATAAAAGGAAGTACTCCATGCCCGAAATATATAGCTATACAGAGCTAATTTTAAAGGGAAAATGCGAAATTAGATATGAGACCAAATGTATACAAAAATATGATATCGAAGTATTTCATTACTTGTGGTAGAAGCCTTATGTTGACACTGCCTGACGATTATTTATTTTTAGTTACAGAATGGCCTCGTCAACAATGAAAAGGCATACATGGTACCATTTAACTAACTAAACTGGCGCCAAATACTGCTTACACACACACAAAAATGATCGATACATTTAAAAGACAAATCAATACTCAAACACAAACAACCAACGAAAAAAATGTCATTAACATTTCAAAGCAAAGCATTTAAAAAGAATAGTCAATATTGATTCCTAAACATCTTTTGTAATTTTCGTGCAGTTTGATAAAGAAAGTGTCAAATATGAAAATAACGTTATATAGATTATATGGTAAGAAAAACTGTCTATATGTATAGCACATTTATTTGGGTAGGAGGTAATTTGTGTGCGAAGCCATGACTATTCTATTGGTTGGGTACTTCGAATGTAGACATTTTTAAAAGTTCCCGCAGCATAGAAGGATGAAAATATGACGAATTCGGGGTGTAGGAATTTATAACAAGTAACGTGTTTGTTTCTCTAGCGGGTCCTGTTTTTAACACTTAAAAAGTGTTCATTAAAATAAAATTTCTATTTATGATTTTTATTTTTATAATCATTTTCTATTTTTTCTCAAATCTACACGTTCAAGTAAGTAAAATATTTAATATTTGTTAACTACATATAATACATGAGCGTGTGGAAACAGGAAGCTTGTACTTGTGCAAATATTTTTTAAACTTTCGTCACTATAGTTTTGATATTGACGGTTTGACGTCCACTATTATACGGTCTTTCAGGGAAGCCGTGTCCTTGGATTTATTTAGGCCGGCGTCATGCTAAATATGCCCGCTGCCGAGTATGTAAGGCTGACGACAGGTTGTACCAAAATAGAAAAAAATAACTAACCAATCGTTTTCAAGGAAATTATCATGTGATGTTGTATGTGTAATAGAATTAATTTTCTTAAATGTGCATATATCTTCTCCCAACTTTCAACAGAGGACTGGACGGTACCTACAAGGTCAGTGGTCATACCCAAATGGTCAGTTATCATTCCAAGTGGCAGTCGCCATTTCAAGGCAACATACACAGCGACATTTGTTGCGTATTGTTGGAGTTGTTTCCCTTTGAATGGTTAACCAGACCAGTTGGCCTCTGACCAAACAACAGACAAATGGAGTTTTAGCTCGTTATTGAACGAACTTTAATTTATTTTGTGTGAATGAAGCATGATATTTTCCTCTTTATCTAGTTTGTGTGAAATTTATTTTCGCAAGGGTTTGGTATGCTGAAGGCCCCCTCAAGTTGACAGTAATTTCAGAGCATATGGTTCAAAGGGTGGTTGTTGATGCCGATATATTTTCCAAGCTCATAAATGACTCAGTGGCGTAGCATACATGTATGTTTGCATGCTCAATCATACACTAAAATTTTCAAGATTGTTTTTTTAATCACGTAATTTTATTAATTTCATAAACAGGAAAGAATTAAGATAAAAATCTTCTTCTTATAATATGTCTGTATTAAAGTACAAACTTTAATGTTATTCATAGAAAAAGTCGGGTCTTACTTGATAATAATCAGACTAAACTAAGTTCCTAAAAATACGGGAGATTGATTTTAGGACTAGTAGAATTTTGTCAAGCTATCGGCCAATACCCTCCCCCTCCTCCGACGCTGCGCGCCTCGTCCGACCTTCTGTAAGCATATACTCCGAAAAATGATTTGCTACGCCACTGAATGTATCTTGTGTAGCCCAGATCTCGAGTAAAGTTAAAGAACATTTTTAAATGTTTTCGTTTGTTCGAACATGGAGTAAAATGCATTGCGGTTTGAGGCCCCTTGAACTGTTCCCCGGCGTGAGGAGTAGGAATCAATTTTAAAACCGCGTGTAAAGCGTACATGTAATAATATACATATAGAACTATATTCTATTCTGTAGTACATAAGTAAAATTAAAAGTAAGTTATCCGTATGTCGGTTTAACATTAAACGATGGAATTAGATAAGAGCTTTCTAAGTCCACATTCAGGCTCTGCGGGAGGAATGAGTGACTTTAGACTTACATCATAAGATTTACACGTAATTAAAATAAACAACAGCAATTGATGACGTCATAAAAACAAATATACACAAACTGATGACATTATAACCTAAGCCAATACAGGGACATTGGGAAAATAACTGTTGGTTGTATTTTTGTTGGATATCGGATTTTTTGTCATGACCTTCTGTTTTAACTTTTGGTAGTGGACAAATAAAAACCATTTAGCAAGTCGATCATATTTCATGAATTGGATAACCACATTTTTTTACGGGATCGAAAAGCATCGAGAAGTTAAACATGAACTGAGCGAGTTTTGCAGTACTCGGCTTGTTTTGTATCTAGGACAAGAGTAATTGTCGGCCAACAAACCCATCAAGCAATATATTTCATAGATTTAATCACAATTGCTATTCCACGGTGCCATTGTTCTCGGTAAAATTAAAGCGTGATTCATGTGAAAAATCAATGTATTGGAATGTTTTCATAGCACTTTCCAGGCCAATTAAAACCAAAATGTCGCTTTGAAGTTTGAAGTAGCACTAGAGTCAATATATCCCCCGCCACCGTCCCCATCATAATTGCGTGTGGCAAAAAGTTAAATGTATATGAATTTATTCTTGAGGAACATATTGGCTTTGGAAAATCAGTTCTTTTAAAAATAATCATTTTTTCGGCTAATTTCTTTTAAGCGTTTCTGTAAATTGGGGTACAAAACCACAGCTTATTTTGAACTACAAAGCATGGTTTAACATAGGGGCCTGAATATTTGAGTGGAGTGTAAACGAAGCGAACACTTGGCTAGCGAAGATGATGCCGATGGGAAACGTTCTATACATTTGGTTTGGGAGGTGTCTAATATCCCCATTTCTCCCTGTAGATCAATTCACGTATCAAAGTCACAAAAGAATATTTCGTTGTGTACTCAATTTCACACGTCCAGGTCAAAAAGGAATATCACACTTTGCTCCTATGTTTTAGTCCAGTTCCCAACAGAATTTTACAAAACATGTTAAAAAAAAAATCACATGTAAATGTTACCGGAATTTTTACATTTTTTCCTATAATTACATAGGTAAAGATAACAGGGGACTAATGCAGTGCTTTTTAAAACATGTCAACGTTCGCGTGTCAAAGTCACATTGTAATATTGTAATGTGTTATAATATTTCAACGGCCAATCAAGGTCCAATGAATAGTAAACTCTTATTCTAGTATTGCACATGTCGAGGTCACGAAGTAATATTACACTATGTTCTAAAATTGCAAAGGTCAAGGTCACAAGAGATATTACATTGAATTCTTATGTTCCAAATGTAAAGGTCAAAATTAATTTTACGCTGTTTGATTATTTCACTGGTCAAGACACAAAAAACCTGCACATTTCAATGTGTTATTGAATTTCACAGGTCAAGGTCACAAAGTGATATCACAATGTCTTCTAATATTACACATGTCGAGGTAGGAATATTGACTGTATTCTAATACATTTTCATATGTCAATATTTCATATTGGGTGCCTCGGTAGCAGTGATCGCTAATGCGCACAGTCACTGTACTACTGTGTGCTACATGTATCAAGCGTGAGCTTCAGACCACTCGCTCTCCCAAGAATTTCGGTTCGATCCCCAGCGGTGGTGGAAAAAAGAATGATGTCTGAAAGGGTTAGTTGTTATCCCTCCGATGGCACGGTGGTTTTCCCCCCGTGGGTTTTCCTCCACCACGAAAACACCATTTGTTCCCTCAGCGGCGTCGTAATAAAGCTCTACGGACCTTATGTTTGGTGTTGACAATTGTACACGACGTTAAATAAAGATTATTATTATTACTATTATTAAATACAAACGGAATATTATACCGTGTTCCGATTTTTCACAGGACCATGTCACAACGGATTTTACAATGTGTTCTAATATTTTACTGGTCAAGGTTAGAAAAGTTTTTTGAAAATAGCGCAGAAGTTTTTCTTTTAATGTCGACAAGGAGCAATATGGGCCCACAGACAATACCAAAGTTGATTATTAAGCTTAGAAACTACAATATCTAAATGCGTTCGATCTTTGTATGGAAATCGATATTATGCTATTTTCCATTAAAAATCAAACGTTTTTAAACATCGTCCGAGTTACGTCACTTTGTAGGCGTTTAACCATATGAACGGGAATTCGCGAGATTTGATGTGATGCAGACGGTAGACAACACAGTGGGAACCAGATTTCAGCAATAACAACATGTTTTAACGTCGTAAAATTATGGTTAATGTTTCAAAGGGATTATGTGTTTTCCGTATTAATGTTTATTGTGCTGGCAGAGTTTCTACGTAATCGCGGTAACAAGTGCGACTGTTGACGCCGTATGTGGGCTGCTGGCGATAACGGTGTAAATGGTAAATCAATGTCACAAGTCAGCATCCCTTTCAGACCATGGTGATTTCTATTTCACAATCCTGAATGTTCGTCCCTCATGGAAGTTAAGATAAATTGTTCTTCCTGTTGTTAATATTGATTGCTAATAACATCGAATAAAATCGATTTTGTCCGGATAAAAATATCATATTTATATGTTAATTTCAAACAACTTGTTAGTTTTATTCTGCTGAAATGAAATCAAAGAAATACGAAACTTCATGATATCGAAATTATTAAGCACAAAGCATTGACGATTTATAAATTAACTAACTTATTGCGTAATCGGACTTTTTTTCCTTTTTTTGTTCAGAAATCAAAACATTTGTCACATTTTCATCCTTAAAATTATTGAAAGCTTGCTATGCTTTTGTTTTCGGTGCATTCTAATCTGTCGAGAACCGCAAGCATTATTTTAACATATGGGGCGTCTACTGAAATAGCCGCAGCATGGCGATTAGAAATAGTAGTGACAAAAGTCAAAGTGCATATGGCTCTATTTCGATATATTGGTCAATATTTCAGAAATATTCAAAATTAAATGATTTTTTTTTCTATATCTTTAAGTTGCATACATGCAATCAGAAAGTTAAATATAATTATACGTATTGGAAACGTATACTATTTGTTTGATTGGCTAATCAAATGTGCCTAAATACAAAAAGTCGATTGGGTTCGTGTGACAATGAAACGTCGCTAGTTCGTTTTTTTTTATTCAGGGAAACTACATTTACGAGATGTTTTCTTTCTAGGTACAAATGCAATATTTCATCGGTTTCATTTTCTCACATTTTCCGAAAAGAAGGAAAATAACATTGAATGAAAACTTCCACCTGTTACTGAAGAGAAAGAGAAAAAAATTGCTCTTACCTCTGCGTATACACCTGTCTCATTTTTTGGCTGAAGGGGGAGGGGGACTGGATCCTCCCATTTATAACAATTAGATGACGTCACGTCAACAATGCATAGAACTTTTAACGTTAAAATTGTACATGACAGGGACAACAGGGAAAGAATTTTAAGCTGCCAATACTCGGCAAGCCTCGTATATGGCAACTTCAGAATAATAACTTTACATAAGCTTAAGGCTGAGATAGTCCGACCTTTTCTTGTACCTTTTAGTTCGAAAAAAATATATCTAATATTCTAAAGACTACAAGTATCCCGTTTGGGGCCCCAAATAAAATGGCCTCTACACTACTAAAGCTACAATTGCATGCTTCCGCGTAAAAATGCAGTCCGTCCTTACCAAGAAGACAACGTATTTCACAGTGTAGATTATATTTTATCTACAACCTCAGACATCTAACAACATGAAAACAATACATAAAACGACAAAACATTTATTTGTAATGCAGATTGTGAATTTCAAGCCGTGTGGATGAATACATTTCAGTGTGAGAAATTCCGCGAAATATCACGTAAAGGTACCAGACAGATCGAACGAAATAGACAAATCTAACATGGGGTATGACGTGGGATATCTCTGAGATGCGAGAATATATTAATCTCCTCCCCTAAGTGAATGAAATATTCTATTAATCCCAAATGGGTGCACTCAGTGACCCCTGTTCTATTATGACGTCACAATCAGATGACGGTGTTTTATTATAATGTAACAGTTAAAAACGTCGTTTAACTGACTATGGGAATCTTATCGTTGGCAAGTGAGTGACACCACCTCAAAAATAAAGAATTACTGTCAAGAAGATCTTGCATGGATCCTTGAATTTGTGAGGTATACCTACAGTACCATGTTAGGAAGTTTTTTTCTGCTCTTTCCAAATATTGCCTTATTAGCTTTCGTATGCGTTATCTAGACATTTTGTATTGCTAAATGTTGCATGAACATTGTTTACTGTTTGATCAAAATTTAGGTTAAGAGTTGATAGAAAAAAAGTTAAACCTTATGAAGGATTGTTGGAAAGGGATATTCTACCCTCGGGTAAAGCTGCGGTTCTGATTAAAATTCTACACCCTCGGGTAGTATATCAATATCCCCCATACCTACATATGTATCGGCCGAAGGAAATACGAAATCCTTTAGGGTCATACCATCCCGTATACCCTGCCAAAAATCCGTGTAACGAATTTATTACCCCTTTGAGTCTTTTATAATTGTTTTGTGGCACATAGTAGCCCCTTTGGCGAGTATTTCCTCATCAGTATGCGAAGCGAAACGTTTTGCCATTTTGCAAACAGCGAAGCAGACGACGAATGCGAGTTGTCTCCCGTTGCCCGGCCGCAAGATACAAAGTCAAGTGACCCGTATACCCCTTGTAAAATCACGTGATTCCACCGTATTACTGCTGAGAATCACGTAATATGACCGTATACCCCCTGAGATTTTCGTATACCCCCTGAGATTTACAAATGCGGTTTGGTACACTGTAGTTTTTAACCAATCAGATTCCTAGATATTTTTCAAAGGGGTAATAATAGACTATATTAGTAATTAATTTACTGACGTACAATAGAATTCTCTCCCTGTTTTACAATACAGGTTCAGGTATTTTTTCTGTCATAGGAGGTACTACCCTTATCAAATCTATAATTTACTACTGAGCGGAATCGGGTTGAGGTCGAATTTTAAGAGTACGTAACATCTGGTTATCCGGTGAATATCGATTTCTAAATATAGCCTGTATGGAAATTCCCCGGAACCTGTCGTAGCGCATGCGCAGTTAGACTGGAACGCAATCTGTCAGACGACATTAGAAGATGGCTGCTGGCGAACGTTTCTCCTCCGTTAGGAAAATTACCAAAATTATTCGAGGATAAAGATGCTGTAAACGTAAAAAAAAGGCCATTGAACACGCAGTGCATTTTCTCCATGCTTACCTTAAGAAAAAGAATCTAGACGATGCCTTCGAAAGCTGCAATGCTGAACTGTTGTATTCAAACCTGGCTAAATTTTACACGGAGGCTCGCGTACAAAAATCAGAACCTTTGGTTTTGTTTTGTTTTATTTTATTGTTGAAGCATATAATAAAACAGTTATGGGCTTTTGTGCTGGTAAATATGATGTGATATGAACCTGAAAGAGTGATATTGACTGAGGCTCCGCGTACTCGTCCACGCAATAAACTCGTGCTTTCTGATTCGTTAGAAAAATACAAGTGTGTGGTCTTGCATATTTATTACAACAGGAAAATTGTCGGGGATAAAAAATCAATTCCCCTGATGTGATGCAGATAGAAATGTCAACCCTCGGGTAGAGATTTTTGGAGATTTTAGCACTCAGCAAAGCCTCGTGCTAACCTTCAAAAATCTTACCCTCGGATGAAGATTTATATGACAACAGGAGTTACAGTCTCTATTTATCTTACCTATGGTGGAGATGACGGTGACAGAAAAGAACAGGGCTCCTGGCCAAGACCACTTGTACGTCGGACCGTCCGCCTTCCCGTAATCCGCGCATACACTTCCGTCATATCCTATAGCAATGCTGTTGTCCCGGAAGGTCTCAAGTAAAACCCGGAGCTGAATCGTCATAACAGATTTATCCGGATTTCCGTCGTTCTCTGTGATAACGTTTAACATGTTCGTGAGGGTTTTGTTCTCCATGGGTTCGTACTCCTCCTTTGAGTCGTAACAAATCTGCTGTTCGTTATTTTTCTCTAGATGTTCAAAGATGAACCCTCCCGCGACACAGTATAATACAACCATTCCGCAAAGTCCCACATGGGAAAACAAAAACTTCATGGCATTCTTGCAGCACCCTTCACGAGCCTTTAAACCCATCTTGTTGATGTATTCCCTTCAAATGGTCCACTGAAGATTATTTCTTTTTTAAATGCAGCAGAACTCAAAACGGGTTTTAAATCCGGATATTTGTATCCGCCTCCTGGTCCTGTTAAGCTACATTACTGTGTCGATGTGTCGTTGCTGCATTTCATAAGCTTGTAACGGTTGAACCCAATCAGCACGAATTAATCGAGTGACCTGAAACGATAGATTTTAAACTTTGTCACATGCGTAGTTTGATATTGACTTAGGGCACCAACACTAAGCTCTTTTGAATAGGTATTTTCCCCTGTAGACCAAAAGTATCTCGATATCGACTCTAAAATTTTGTAGGCCAAACAAACTCGCAAATTATGCAAACAGCAATCATTGGAACCGGTATAAAACAAAATCTGTCGTTTTCGTCTTGGCAACATTGAGCCACTTTAATCGATACAGTTTTGAATTAATTGTTTAATGCATTGTATTTCTTAACCATTGCTGGACGATGACCCAATTACCAAGACTTGAAGTGACATTACGTTGGACTTTTGATCAGAGTGCTTTAAGAGCTCTCCTTTCGATTGAAATTAGGAGAGAGTGTACTGCTTTAACTGACCATAAAATGTATTTACAAAAACAATATTTATAGGATTAGGATGAACATATTCCCCCCAAGGTTAATACGCAGTTTCATCAACCTGTGTTACCAATATATTAACCGAGGAACAGGTCCGAGATTGATATAGCACGCATTGACCAAAATTAACATTCTACCGGATTGATTTACCATCATGATTCAACGATATCAAAAACAAAATGAAGGATTAACTTCTTTAACCCGTATTCTTGATATTATTCATGAGCATTAGACACTTCTATATAACATCAATGACAAGCGTTTTCGGTTAATGTAATACTAATAATTGTTGTACATTTTGTGCATCCATAATACATGTACAAGCAAGTGTTGCACGCTATCGTTGAAAAGTTCACGCTTACAAATGCAATGCACGCATACATCAAACACATTTTTTGGACAGTTTGATTTGGTTTGTTGTGCTTTACGTCCTATTAACTGCTATGGTCATTTGAGGATTTGGCGACTGTACGACGTTGGCCTCGAACCCATGACCCAGTGGTGAACGGCTAGTGTTCGTAAATGACGAAACGTCTGACATAATGTATTCGCTCAGCCACAACGCAGTCGGAGAGACTTAAACAGCTCGTACTTGGACAGTCGGAGAGACTTAAACATTTTAATAAAATAAGTTATCAACACAAATATATTGTGTTAAAAATAACCTTTTTTATTGTTTCGTTTAAATGTTTTATTTTAATGAATTAGAACCGTTGATTTTATCAAAAGCTATTGTACTGCAAAATCATAGACACTAGATCCAGAATATATGGTAATTAGAACCAAATATTGGCCCGTCGATAGCTCAAACGGGCACCATAACGAACGGTAAAGGCGTACATTGATTTCTAACAGCGGGCTATATGGCTTCTCCCTTTGTTTCAAAATCTATGGAAAACTGAGCATTGACCTTATTTTATATAAAATTCCGAAAGCAAACATGTCTTCTCTATTATTACAGTACCACTATCATTTAAAATGCAATTAAAGTTCAAAACAAACACTATATTTTGGTTTTAACAAAAGCTAAAATGTGTATTTCGTGATTATCGACTTTTCGTTGTTACAAGTACATTGTATGCAAAGGGCTAATCGATCTCAATTTCAGCGGTTTATAGAATCTTGTCCAAACAACCCGTTCTTTGCCCTCCATTTCAACTTCAACCATGATAATAAACAAACAATATGAATTGTATCCTAAATTCAAACTATAGTTAAAAAAAAAAAAAATCGTGTCCAAATTCCTGAACTGCAAAATTAAATATTGGAACATGAAAAAAAGTCCGTCTTTTGATCTTTTCTCGAACTACACATAATGAAACCCTGGCCGAAAAATCCGTCACGTGAATATCTATGTACTGTAAAGCGCTTAAGAGTGGCTTATGTTAGCTAGATAGGGCGCTATGTCAAATGTTGTATATTAGTATCATTATTAAAGCCTACAGAAATTATTCTTGACGGACAAAAAAAAACAATCTTGTTTCCTCAATCAAAAAAGATAAAATCCGCCAAGTTTCTTTAACTTAATTCTGGATAGATCAATATAATTGACCAATTGTCAGCATTAAAAACGTAAACAATGATGATATGGTCGGATAAAACAGTTTTGCATTTGGAAATGTTTGGCAGATGCTGATATGCGTGGGATGACGGGGTTTAATATTGTAAAGGAAAACGTTTCGTACAAAATCATGGTGGTTTGCGGGGTGCGGGGTTGGCAATAGAACCGGGGGCGGTATACAGGGGGTCCACTGTACAAATAGGATTCCGGACAAAACAGCGAGGACCCCAGTTAAAAAAAAAAAATCCGCCGTGTTACTCTAACTTCAACTACGGTGTATAGTTTGTAAACAAATCAAGCTGTGCACAGTTTTATTGTTATGAAACTATAAAATGTATTATAACACTTAATTCTTTATCATTTGTAACCAATCCTTGCTTATTATTCATCAATAACTTTAATTAATATCAATACATACATATGATGGACTTCGTACTTATCGATTCTGTTTTTATAACATTTAGATAATTCCGGAAGTAGATATACTGTTTATTGGGTTATCCGGTTTTCTAAGTTTGTGTAAACACAAATGATTTGCTTTTATTTCCTCGGGCAGATATTAAACCACCACATTTATATTAGGTGTGTCAATTTGCTAATCAATGGCGATCTCACTTACAATGGCCGAGAGCTCAATTCTCTGAAACAGGAGTTACGAGATCATATATATGCTTTTTTGTAATAGGGGATACTAATGTACTACCACTTAAACACCTCTGATAAAGCTACAGGCGTAAGTGTGTATTGGCCCATGATCATGACTGTGTAAATCATAATTATTCCCATAATTACTTGAATTGTCACGTCATTTCCGCTTGATGTTCGTTCGTTGTTGGAGCAAAATGCTGCAAAGCTGCTGGCAAAAATGTTCATTTGAACAAAAAACACATTTGTTTGAAGTTTTTACCTTCAAAACACCAGTTTTTTTACTTTCAACCTCGTGTTTGAGATTTCTCAGCCACGCAGGTAGGGTATTATTCTATAAGTCAAAAGTAAAGGCAATGTAATGAACATGGATATCATATAAATTGTGGCCATGTCAACGAGTGCATGATCGGACACAATGTGCGACGTTAACATCGTTACGGCATTGGAATGACCAATTCCGTTGTAAATAAACAGCAGAATTGGGCAATCAATTTCAATTTAAATGTCAGGATTGACACATCTTTGTGCGTTTCAGATCTTCGTGAAAGTGTCTACAATATCATGTATATTTCAGTCATACTACGAAAAACAATTAATTGAAAAACAGGTATATCAATGTCATATTCTCTTTATAAATTATTATTCTAGGTCATTTCTGTTTTTCTCTTAATGTTTTGAGTTTTTTGTACGGTCTAAAGACATTTGAAGTCATCTATGGCCAATCGCTTCATGATTTTTTCCTTTCTAGCATTCCAGCATTTTCATGATAGTACATTTGTGTCATGCGCGTCAAGGGTGCTAATCTTGCAAGGCACTTCCGCATACGATTTTAGGGGACGAAAACAGTATAAACGTTGCGTGACCGCGATATCTTGATCATAGCTTGATATTAACGTGAACTTGACCGATGCTTCCCATACGCTACCATGATATAATGAATACAATACGTTTATATTGATATATTTATCAATCGGAGCATCCTTTTAACTGCAATCGGGACGAAGTGTTCCGAATGACTTTTTATGTTATCTACATAAGACGCTCAATACATATTGTTTATTTCTTGGACGTGCTTTAAGAACGATAAAAGAACACAGCATACACATCTATATAAAAACGTCAACTCCTCATTAAGTACTTGTTGTAATCTTATCGATAACACGTCAATGAAATTGACAACATCTTTTGAAATTTTAAAGTCAACTGAGGCTTACTGTAGCGGGGCTTATCGGAAGTGCGCCTCATTCAAACCTTATGTCGTTGCTTTCGTCGTCGTCATTCTTGTTTACGACACTTGCTAAAAGAATTAGGTGATCATTCAATGCATGAAGCTAAAACTCTTTTGTAAACAGAGGGCTTAGTGTTCAGCAATATCTTGTCTACACAACGCTCGTGCTAAGCAACTCTAGCAATAGTTACATAAAACAAAAAAATATCGTTAATCCCAACCTTCACGAATCCGGTCTATACGGAGTAATCAAAATACATATACATTGTTATTGTTCGGTCTGATGAGGTTCCACATTACATATAGTCTAGCATGTCCGGTTTAACAAAGTTCACTGTAGAAACAAGATAAACATGCGGACAAGCAAGGTTCCACTATACACAGATGCCAGAGTCTGGTCTTACGAACTTCCACTGCACAAACATTCAAATATGTTCGATCTAACGAGGTTTAGCTGTACACATCGACACAAGTGTCCGATGCGATACTGGCTTTGGTGTCACGGGACGGTACGGGATGACAAGGGATGGTACGAGGAAAATCAATCGATCAATCGATAGAATACAGGCACTTGTATACGCAGTGGCTACCAAGGACATTTTATTATCGTGTCAGATGACAGTCACCTTGTACAAAATCAATGATTCAAATTCAAATATCTCCGACTCGATAGAGCAGTAGCCCTTTACATATATATATTCTCTTTTATGTTGTCGACCACCTCGTCAGATGTATATTGAATTATATTTAATTGTTTAGAACTGGTCGAAATCGGATGGAATATGGCGTATACATTGTCAGCAATATGAATTAGGTGTTATATTGTACCATGATACAAACGCACGGAAGAGTGCTATCTTGAAGCGTTTCCATTTACCTTAAAAAGTAATTTTCAATAATTGTACAGTGATATTTGCTGTTTGAATAAAACGAAGTTAAAACTTGCCGTCATAAACATGATATTTATTTTTGCATTCTGTTTCGATTCAAAGCAAATCTTAAGCCTTGTATAAATGTACATAGGTTTATAAAATAAACAGAAAAAGTTCTTTCGCTGTAAATTTGTCCAGAAATTGCTCGTTCTTTTTGTGTGTTTACGAGGGTTTAAGATATCAATATAATTCATGTTTGAAATTACATGT